GACAAGCATAATATAATTAGAAATTAAAAATTCGAGAAATCACAGATATGGCTTAGTCGGGCTGTTAAAATAATGTCATTTACCTTCATATGAAGCAGAGTGCCCTTCGTTGACACATTACTGGCATCCTCGCTTGTATTGACTTGAAAATTTCCCTGTATAGTCATGTCATTTTTCACGTACGTATCGTTCGCACTTAAGTGTTAAACGTTACCCTAAAATATATGGCATTTCTTCCAACATCCTCTTTACATGTTTATTCTTCTGAATGTCACCTTTACAGACTTCCTGATGAACTAGACTTACTAGAGGATTGAAAAAAATATATAGTTACTTTTATTTTATTTTGCTGTATGTGCATATCTAAATTGCATATGGCTAGTAAAACATTCATTGTGTACATATCGTGATGAAATGATTGATAATATTCTTGTGCCTTCGCTCCATCAAATTTCTTCGCTGCTTCAAACTCAATAAGACGAAGGCATGTTTTTCTTTTAAATGATGAAAAACTGGGAATATATAATGCCGAAATTTTGTCGCTGATTATTCTGCTACTTATTAAAATAATCATAGACATACTATTCCGGTGATCGTTGACACATTACTGGCATCCTCGCTTGTATTGACATGAAAATTTCCCTGTATAGTCATGTCACTTGTCCTGTACTGTGCGAATCATTCGCACTCAAGTGTTGAACGTTACCCTACAATATATGGCATTTCTTCCAACAGCCTCTTTACACGTTTATTCTTCTGAATGTCACCTGTACAGACTTCCTGATGTACTAGAGGGTTGAAATTGTCATTGTGTTCCCGGCGAACTTTGCGCTAGGCTCATACTTCGCTATTTGCCGTGTAATCAAAGCGAAAACTGATTTATTCTCCAAAAATTTTTGGCCAGTGCAGCGTAAGCCTTTGGGTAGCCGACAGCTGGCCTACCTTGATCCGGATTTTTTTACAGTATACAGTCATTGTCAGGCCTATAGGAGCCATGACTGGCACATCACGGTCCAACACATTGACGTTCTCCTCCATGGTCAAGAATGTGTTGATGGCGAGCTTTCCCGCGTGCATGACGACAATTCCCGTATAAGCGGGAATTGTCAGTTCTATTTAGTTAATATTATCTATCCATCTATCTGTGTGGGTTATATATACCCATCTGTTGAAAGGCAGAACGTTGATAGGTGACAAGCCCAAAATAGGCATTCTTTATTCAAACAATTTCCTTCTTTTCACTGCAAATATTTAACTAGAATTTCATCACTTAGTTTTCAACTAAGTCTATTGGGACGCTTTGCCAAAGTTATCAAAACTCCCAACATCAAACAAAAATATTCATAGCTTGCAGACAACACTAGGTTGTAAAGCGCTCACGCTCTTACTTCAGCGCGTGATGATTCACAAGTGCTCACAAGTTAAAAATATTAGATCAGTACTCACTGCAGTGAGTGACGGAGCGAATTTTCTCGTCGTGAAGTCATAGACTGACGGACGGACAGACGGACATAACGAGCACAATAGCGCCTTTTTTTCCCATAAATGAGGAATGTTAAATGCGCTAAAAAGACTGCATGCATGCGGTAATGACTTTGAAGCTATGAAGTTGATATTCATGTTACTGCTTGCACGTGTCTGAGGGTAAACAATGCACGTTCATGTCACAAATTAGTTCTTGCTTTGAAACAACAAATTAATCGTTTGAAATGATGCCGTGAAATCCAATATCGGCCTTTTTGATGGTAATCGGAGCTCTTCTCGTGTATACCTCATTATTACAAGTCCTTTCAAGAGTTTTTTGAAAACACTTGCTTCATGATCAAACCCATATACCTATGACAAAATAAATTTGTAAGGGAAGTGAGGGCAGCGCCATATTTTATTGTAATTGGAGTGCAGTAGCAAGGCCTGCCTACAATTTCCTGGCTTTGTTAGGCGATGCGAAGTGAAAGTGAAATGTGACTCTCAGGTCTGCTTCCCGCGCACGCAACGATTTTCTGTTCATATCCGCGCGTATAAAAAAGCCAATATTGTAAACAAATATTTTTAGTATTTATTAATATCAATTATTATTGATGTTTTTTTTATTTGCCAACATTTACAGTTTGGATTTCGTTTGACTGCCGTATTTTTGGCTACAGAGTAGCTTGCGGAAGAAACTTCTGTACTCTTGCTTTATTGCCTCTGTTGAAGTTTTAGATGTTATAGTTAAAATCGCATATGGCCAAGACTAAGGGCAACTAAAGAGGAAATGATTACCTGATGGTAGCAGGATTACGTAAGAATTAATGACTAGACTCATTATAGGTCTAGTCATACAACGGCAGGATGACAAAACGATTTGATTGGCCTAGTCTAAGGACAGTAATACGACTGTGAAAATTTCGTCTGAAATGTACAAAAAATTGGCTTTATTTAGAGATCTAGTAGGTAGGCTGTAGGAAGACAGCGATTTCCTTTCAGCCGCAGTCTATTTGCTTTAACAAAACCGCGCGGTCATGCGTTCGGCATCGAGAAGGAATCTGTTTCGTTGAATATGTTGCTAAATATTTACAAAAAATTTTAGTGAATTTTGCGGTCAAATTTTTTTAGTTAAATTCTACTTGGCTTGTTAATTCGCTGATGTGGTAAGGAATGAGCAAGCTTCCGTTATTATTGAGTGTTCTTCTTGACAGCAAATATCGTTGAATTATAAACGTTCATAATTCAAAGGTACTTTTAACATTTTGATTAAAAAGTGGCACATATCATGGACTATCTTGCTCTTGGAGTTAATGGTACTTAATGGTATGTCTTACTTCAATTATTTCAAAACCTTATTGCAAAATAGATTTTATCATGAATGTTTCGAATTCAGTCTCATATTATATATTTTACTGGTTGTAGAAAGGATAGTGTCAATGAGAAATCGTTGCAAAACTAAAACTTGTTTTAATAGTAATACAGAAGTAATATTCCTCCCGGCTAGGGAGTTTTTTTGCTAATGAGCAATCGACGTCAACGTTGTTGGGGCTCTACGAACTCCTAACTTGCCTACATCATCGTATAGGTCAATAGGCTTAAGCCCCGTCCACACGCTCAAACTTATCGTCAGTCTTGCATGTCCATGCCCAGTTTGACCGACCGCTCAAAGTTTGACGTCTTGCATGACGGGTGGTCGGAGTTTGAGGTTTGACAAACCTGGAAAAGACGGACGGGCGAGACCTTTGGGTTCAAGACTGACGATAAGTATGAGCGTGTGGACGGGCAACCGACTAATTGGTCAAACTTTTACTCTATCTCTGTCTATATTGATGTCGAAAAGAATAGGGGTCAATGAGAAATCTTTGCTAAACTAAAACTTGTTTTTAAAAGTAATACAAAAAGTAATGTTCGTCCCGGCTAGGGAGTTTTTCGCTAATGAGCAATCGGCGTCAACGTTGGAGCGCTAAAGCCATACGAACTCCTAACTTGCCTACATCATCGTATAGGTCAATAGGCTTACTGATAAATTATGATTAAAAGCACTTTATTGCACAACACTATTCGTTCAATTAAGCAATCGAATAATTGCGTGCGTCAACTATAGCGACAAAGCAGCAAATAAACTCGTGAAAAAAAATAAAGTTTAACACCGTCAGTATCGACAACTTGGTCAACAACGCTTCGGGGCGTTAACTCATAGCCCGGGATTTGTACCTAACGATCTTGGGATTGAGTCTTGATATTTGAGGTTCAGTTTCGGCATTTGAGGCTTTCCTAAAGTACCAAGTAAAAATAGATAAATAACTAATAGTAAGTTGAACATGATAGACAGATCCATAAACATGAAATCTATGTATTTACAAAAATATTCCTGAACTATTATTTACAAATTCGTATCGCATCCTAGCAAACGCATACCGATCCGCTCCGGCTTTCCTTGCAACAATGGTCTTTTCTCATTAGCCTTCCACACACTGCTTTCGGTAAGCTCTAAATTAAAATGACAAACCAAATTTCGAAAATTACCATTTCTTAACAAATATTACGGCATCAGATGCATTAAGGAATTGTGAACGATTTTTATCCCTTACAACGTTTTGAGTAACTACCTACAAGCATACATCTTTGGAAACTAACAAAAACCTGGTGAAAAAGCAGTCGTATTCAGAAGAACAGGTTCTGGAATATATAAATATTCATAATCATAGTATAAAAGTCCGACATTTTGGTTATCTTTTCCTTCACCACTCTCGTCCATGCAAAACATCGTTGTCTCAAGTTGCGATTAGCCTGCGTTATGACTTCTCATGACCCGTTGTACGAATTGGACGTCTGATTGCTGTTAATTCAATAATCTTTGGATCATCTTTTCATCAGTAACCGAGATAAGTTTCCTCCTTAATTTCTCAAACGGGATCCAAATAGATCGCAATACCGCTACAAACACAAACTTTTACTAAAGTCTTTCGCTCCTAACATAACTGTGTTCTATTCTACGCCTGACGGCTTGTTGTCTTACTTTCCCTCTTGCCAAAATTATCTAATCTTTGTATTTGATGAAAAACTTCTAGGATGGGAATCAAGCTTGAAAATTTTCACTCTATCACGATCCACTTGACATATCTGTGCGCCGATAATTTTTACTCTCATTTTGATATGATGTCATTACCTTTTTTGACCCAATAACATGTAGCTTACGTTTGAACGCGAATGCTTTTCCTCCCATATGACTAGATGTCTTCCACCCTGCAGCCATTGACCTGATGCCAATGATTCTAAATTGACGCCCGTTAACACACTGTATAATATGGAATAGAATAGAAGTGTCGGCACTGAAGAAATAGGCCCATGGCCTGTTGCAGATTCTTGAATTTTTCGTGACTTGATTAACAAGAGGTCCGGGCTTTGGAACCCGATCTTTCCATAACTGACGATTGATTGAGATAGCTGCTGGAATATGAGGTCTCTTGAACCTTGGTGTTCAGATTAATGTGTTTTTAGACACGGTTTTAATGTGATGCTTGTGCCCACAGCCCATGACGTCCGCAACTGCCGGCAGCATCACGTGGAGCGTCTCAACGAGTGTCTTATCGAAGTGATCAAGCGCGTCATCCAGCCCAGGATGGGGGCAGGTCAGGCGCGCTCATTCAAATACAAAATAGAGTTAAAATAATTTATTATAAAATTAATTGTAATTGAAATTGTAATTGATGTGCATTAATCTGATTCAAACTATATTGTAATATTATATATAAAATTTAATATCGTGAAATTTCTATCGTATCTGAAAACAATAGAATTTTCCTTAGATTTAAGCTTCTATTCTACTTCTAAGCTTAAATAAATCAATGTTCTCAGAAACTTCGTAAGGGGGTTGGGAATCCCGCAAGTTTTTGAAGCTGAAAATTAAATATATTCATACAGTGTTAGTTCACATCACTGTAAACAAGATATCAGCTAATGTATTCACTATATCTAATAATTTTAACTACGCAAATACATTATTTTTAAATATCTCTAAAAATCCGACTCAATCAGGCACTGGCGGTATTTCTAAAAATTGCAAATTTTACAAGAATAGCCCTATTTTCCCTTGTTTATTCAATTCAAGACTCCCATTTTTATTATTTAGTATTAAATACAATATACAAAAATGTTCCGCTAAATGGGACGATGCGTAGACAGCTAAATATTTGCTGTAAAATGGCTCGATTACTCACACTGAGACTCAGGACTTGCAGGCTAAAATTCCAGTTTCCGGCATGCACGGAAATTTTGGGGGATTATTTATTTTTGTGTCTGATTAACGTCGAATTTCATGACTGATAAGGAAAATTTTCTGACCAATAATTCGTTATCGACGCAATTGTTTTGTGGTTTGGTGGTTGACGCAAACTGCGGTCTCGATAACTGAAAATGACCGGCACAAACTGGGACTCGATGACCGGCACAAACTGGGACTCGATGACCGGCACAAACTGGGACTCGGTGACCGGCACAAACTGGGACTCGGTGACCGGCGCAAACTGTCCGTTCTGACCAAAACTGTTCATCGACTGTCGCAATTTGTAGTAACTCGCAACAGAGTTCTCCATCATCATCATCACATCACTTAAGAAGGTAAAAGTAACATCATAGGAGCAGAGTAAATTCAATGGTGTAAAATTGTTATCCGCACTTCTGCGAACAATTGTACTCGTCGTAATTAAGGCCTAGCCAGTAAAGTTACAACACTTTGTCTCTGGTGTCCTTAATTGCGAGGCCGACTGAGCGATTTGAGCTGCAGTACGTTATTTTCGGCAGGACAGAGCGGAAGGGTATACTCTCTGTAATTCTCAAAATGCACGAGTTACGTTTATTCTGTAGCTGTTGGTTTTACTTAGAGTGTTGTAAATAAATGTAAAGTTTAATAAAGTTATAGCTGAATCCGACATCATTACAAATGGCATTTTCAAGCTGTCGCCTGATTTATATTTGAAGTTTGTGTAAGGAGACTGTTAACAGCGCAGATAATCGGAAATAAATAAGAGGAAAAATTGAGTAGGAACACACGTCATGCACTATTAACTCGTCTCTGCAAGTCTTGTATCTATTTATCGAAGCATCGATAAATAGTTACAACAATAGTTTGCAATGTTGCATTGCAAACGTTTAGTGTACAACGTCGAGACAATGGATCGTCCTATTTAGAACTGTCTCAATTTATGCAGCATTTACTCTGATAATTTGTTATGGTTGATCTTCTAGCTTCATGTGGTTTGTTTTTGTCTGATTGTTAATTTTCTTTTGTCTGTTGAAATTGTTTGTTGACTTCGATCCACCCAAAACATACCCAGCAATTCACTGACACGACGATCAACAAGATTTATATTACACATTCATACTTCCATTCACATTTCATAACTCACAATAAAATTATAATTAAAATTCTGGTCTTCATCGATAATGCTTTACCATAAACTTTGCTATCTGGCACTGGATTAGCGCCGCCTATGATCAAACTATTATGTTCATACTTGATAAATAACTCAACTTGACATAACTTAATAAACATTAAACTTGATGATATTTACCTCCAGGTATCCCTGAGCTGAACATCCCGCGTCTGGAGCCGCTGCTGCTCGAGAACATCGAATTCCGGCAGTCGGAACCTCCGGTCACCGTCGAGGCCATCTACAAGAACGTGCTGGTGTCCGGCATCACGGCCTTTGATATGAAGTATCTAGAGTGAGTACAGTACGAGTGTGATGTACTGGTGCGATGTACAAGAACGTGCTGGTGTCGGGCATCACGGCCTTTGATATGAAGTACCTAGAGTGAGTACAGTACTAGTGTGATGTACTAGTACGATGTAACAGTGTGATATACTAGTTCGATGTAATAGTGTGATGTACTAGAACGTCCTGGTTTCGGGCATAGAACGTCCTGGCGACGGGCATCCTGCGTGAGTACAGTACAAGTGTGATGTACTAGCGCGGTGTAAAATAAATAGTGTCACAAGAACGTCTTAGATTGCGACATCGCTATGATGTACTAGTGTGTGTGTGTGTAGTGAATAAAATTCTTACACTGTTAATTCCGAAAAGTTATTAAAATTGTTGCACCGCCTTAAAAACTTTTTTATTGAGACTAACTTATTCATTACTAATAATAACTAATAGCTTATTAATAGACTAATAACTTAGCTAATAACTTATTAATAAAGACTAATAACTTATTAATAAAGACTAATAACTTATTTAGCATCGACATGGAGAAGAAGATGGTGTACGTGGGCCTGACGATCCCATCGCTGACGATGAGAGGACAGTACAAGATCGGCGGCAACGTCTTCCTGCTGCCGGTTGAGGGAGAGGGTGACTACATGACCATTCTGGGTGAGGTGGTCACTACATGACCATTCTGGGTGAGATGGTCACTACATGTACATTCTGGGTGAGATGGTCACTACATGACCATTCTGGGTGAAATGGTCACTACATGACCATTCTGGGTGAGATGGTCACTACATGACCATTCTGGGTGAGAGGAGCAGGTGAGTAGCTTTATTATTGAATCAGAGCCTAATGTCGTCAATAGCAGTTAGTGCCTAATTACTTAAGAAGCATTTCTGATGCCCTAGTTCCCTTTTCAATCTCCTGGAGATTGAAAAACAATTTTCATTTATAAAAACACGGGAATTAAGTGCCCTGTGGTAATGGTCAACTTTGGTCTCCTAGCATTTAAAATAGCGGTGATCCCCCAACCAGTGAGACTTTAGTTGCAAATGGTGAAAGGCGCTGCTCATCAGAAGTTAGTTCTGTCAGATAATGAAGTGGATGTATGCTCACCAGCGAGTCTTCTGGCAGTTGTGGAAGAGGATGTTGCATCAGTTACTCGACTGAAACGCTTATTTATCAAGAGATTCACCATGGGTAAATATATTATTTTGTTTAATTACCGATAACCTACGTGCAGGCGACACCATCCATCACTTCCTGAACGAGAACGGAAACCTGGTGCTGGAGGAGATAAGACCAGGCATCAGCGCCCAGCTCAACGGCTTCCTCAAGCAGCTGGTCAACTCCATGTTGTCAGCGATGCCAGCTGACATCTTCATCGCTGTTCCTAACTCTAACTCCAAAGACAAGCATCGACTCAGAACCCTGAGCATCCAGGCTGCAGAGGCAGCTGCTGCTGCTGGAGCTGAAGTTCCCGCTTGAAACTTTTACATTTATGCTTTAATTTAAATATTTTGTTCGGTATTTTAAGTCTCAAGATTTGGGTAATAGTAAATGAACATTGCATCGAGATAAGGTCTACTTTACTCTCCGTCGACCGTCATCAATTTTGTTTACAGTACAAAGTTGCTTCGGTGATCGTCACAGTATTTGCTCCTGAGAAAATTCTGATCTCCGAGTTTCGATTTTTTCTATGCGGCTGTCAGATGCTAGTTTGTTCTCAACCATCAGGCATCGAATTATTCCGTTGGCAACAGCAGAAATTATGCAGCGCCCAAACCATTTCATAGCCCGGGATGTTCATACATGCATCAATATCTTTCTTCATTAGTGTCAAAATGTCCCGTTTTGAATATTAGTACATATTTATCGTCCACTTTCAGTTTGTTGGTCACTTAAAAATGAAACTTAGAAAGAGTTTTTGTGTAAAACATAGCTACGTACATTAATTCCGCATAACTGACAGTGTTGAGGAAAATTCAGAGAACAATAATTACTTGTCAGAGCATTCACCATTGTCATTCATGAAGTTCTTCGACCTTTTTTTTTGTAATTCAGTTGAATGTTAGATTATTAGGTTTTGTACTGCAATATATTGTCGTATTTTTCGTTATGTATTTTATTGCCATTTGAAAGATGGAACATGATTGTCATTAGATTCATTTCCATCTTCAATTCGCTGTAAGAATAATAGTAATTTATCAAATTCAGTGACAGGTCAAACCAAATCACAAATGGGAGCGCGTCAAAACCTACTATTTTTTGCGGTATATGTAACTATACCATGTATCACGTTTTTGTGATGCTCTAAATTCGCAAAAAAAAAAATTCTCCGAAATATAGACTCAAAGTTACCAAAAAAAAATTCCTTCAATCATTATGCCTGCATTATTGAACTAATTATATTTAGTTCAACCATGAGTGCCTGATGCAGTGACTCAACAAAAAAAACTATAAAGCTGGTTTACTTTCTTATCCACCGAGTTGATAATCCAGGCCGCTGCCCGGGAGAACTGAAGGCAAAGCAAACGACGATGAGCGGGTAAAAGCTATGCGTGAGTGTCACGCATAGTTTGTCCGGCCCCACCCATAGCTGGCGCGTTGATGGAGTTACCCGCGGTCCTTGGACGATCACAGACAAAAATATGCGGAAAGACATAAGCTTTATTGTCATTGACGGCATTGGGGACTACGGGAATCAGGACGATAATAGAAAAAAACGTGCGGGAAGACATAAGCTTAATTGTCATCAACGGCATTAGGATCTATGGAAATCTGGACAATCACAGACAAAAACATGCAGAAAGACATAAGCTTTCTTGTCATCAACGGCATTAGGGATAACGGGAATCTGGACGATTACAGACAAAAACATGCAGAAAGACATTAGCATTATTGCCATTAACGGCATTAGGATCTATGGAAATCTGGACAATCACAGACAAAAACATGCAGAAAGACATAAGCTTTCTTGTCATCAACGGCATTCGGGACTACGGGAATGACGAGATTGAAAAGCGAAAACAACAGAAATCATCAAAGCCGAATCCAGCTGGGCTCACATGCTTATATAGAATAAAAAAACTGTAATTAATCAGATAAAAAGTACGAGTGAAAGAAATTCCTTTAACAGTTACATACGAATTCTAAATAAATATATTAAACAATTAAAAGTCATAAAAGTTAACCGAACATGGGCCTATGAATCTAAATAAACATTAGACTTTTAAAATATACATTTATACGAAATAGTTATCCAACAGAGTTTTTCAAAGGGTAAGAATTACATAAGGCCCAGGTTGAGAATCGCGAGCCCTCATGCGGCCGGCTTGGCTTGTGCCCTATATGGGATTCAATCACTATATCAACTTTATCACTATGTATAGTCATTATTTCTCCGCTCGTAAACGAAGTATCAATCTTAATTTTATTAACGGTGGCGATCGTTGCAGAGATGCGGTTCCTTGCAGACAATTCACATGAATGTTATGAATAGTAGGAAAATATGTTCAAAATTCATTTCAAATGAATGTTAAGAATACTCCGAAAATATGTTAAAAATTAATTTAATATAAATGTTAAGATATGACAAAATTTAATCTTTAAAAAATACATTAATTATTGACGTCGATACTCCAGTGAAACGGGAAACTTTTCATGTAAACTTTAGATTTTACACAATATCCGATAGCTGACGTCCAACGTTCTTAAATTACGCCTCTCTAACCTAACCTCTCTGCAATACAATTTTATTCAATAACGATTTTTGCCTTGTTTAAATTTAGGGATGAATTGTTAATCCAATTCATAGTAATTAACACACTTCCGGCTAAAAATTGCACTCGGGAGCATTTGGCACTCACTTGGGTCACCTGTACACAATGGTTACCGAGATTACAGCCCATCAATAATATATAAATTTTCACGCGTATAATAAAGCTGAAATGTGATCCTCATAATGCAGTTCGGGTTACAAGTAATGCCAAGTATTTATTTTCATTAAATTGAAGGTGGAACGCAACGAGAGCAATGTTGACAGATTTAGCCTGGCTCGATGTTTGCTCGGAGCGATGGTCTTTCTAATGCTATTCTCTTCTGACGCTCCTGCCATCTCTAACGGCAGTCAATCTTTTCCCTCCCTTTCCTTTCTATTTTCCCTCTTTTTCCCCTCCCTTTCCCCTCCTTTTCCATTCTTTTTACAACACTTCTCTTTAACTCCACTTCTTGTTGTTTGTTTGTTTGTTTGTTTTTATGCTACAAATCTTATAATCAATATTTAACACACTTCTACCTCTCCAATCGATCTGAAATTTTGCACACTCGCGTAAAGTTGGAGACAATGCATGAATCAATTGACAGAATATATAATTTCGAAAATTTGAATTTTTTATACATAAAAAGTTAATAATTATTTTTTTATAAAAAAATAAATAAAAATTTTAATAAAATTTAAAATTCAATGTACTTGTGTAACATCACTGACACTGGATTCTTTAAAAGTTTTTTTATTTCTCAACGCATATTATTCTCCTCTCTTTTCCCCTTTCTCCCCTCTTTCTCCACTCTTTCCCCTCTCTTTCCCTCTCTTTCAATCTCTTTCCCCTCTCTTTCGGCCTTGCTCGCTCTCAGCGAGAGCTTCACAAGTTCACTCACCTTTACTCCGACACTAACATTATAATATTAATTGACCTCGCATTATGACACTGTATGACAGCAGCCCATAACACTGTATGGCCTCACATTACACATTGTAATGCCCTCACATTACACATTGAAATGCAATCCTCACAAAACACACATTGTAATGCCCTCACAATACACATTGTATTGCCCTCACATTACACATTCTAATGCCCTCACATTACACATTGTATTGCCATCACATAAAACATTGTATTGCCCTCACATTACACATTGTATTGCCCTCACATTACACATTCTAATGCCCTCACATTACACATTGTAATGCCCTCATATTAAACATCATAGTGCCCTCACAATACACATTGTATTGCCCTCACAATACACATTGTAATGCCCTCACATTACACATTGTATTGCCCTCACATTACACATTGTAATGTCCTCACAATACACATTGTAATGCCCTCACATTACACATTGTAATGTCCTCACAATACACATTGTAATGCTCTCATATAACACATTGTATTGCCCTCATACAAGGCCGTGTGACAGCCTCATACAAGGCTGTGTGACAGCCGACATGAGCAGACGTGTGAAGCTATGGAACACTCGTGTGATTCAGTGAGTACTGAACACGTGTCTACAGCTGCAGTTGGAGGATGCTGCAACTGACGTGTAGAGTTACTGCATGAAGCTACAGCTGCAAGTGTATGGAGCTATAGCTGCAAGTGTATGGAGCTATAGCTGCAAGTGTATGGAGCTATAGCTGCAAGTGTATGGAGCTACAGCTGCAAGTGTATGGAGCTACAGCTGCAAGTGTATGGAGCTACAGCTGCAAGTGTATGGAGCTACAGCTGCAAGTGTATGGAGCTACNGCAGCTGCAGGAAATAAGAGCTGCTGCTGCAAGCGTATGGAGCTGCAGCTGCAGGAAATAAGAGCTGCTGCTGCAAGCGTATGGAGCTGCAGCTGCAGGAAATAAGAGCTGCTGCTGCAAGCGTATGGAGCTGCAGCTGCAGGAAATAAGAGCTGCTGCTGCAAGCGTATGGAGCTGCAGCTGCAGGAAATAAGAGCTGCTGCTGCAAGCGTATGGAGCTGCAGCTGCAGGAAATAAGAGCTGCTGCTGCAAGCGTATGGAGCTGCAGCTGCAGGAAATAAGAGCTGCTGCTGCAAGCGTATGGAGCTGCAGCTGCAGGAAATAAGAGCTGCTGCTGCAAGCGTATGGAGCTGCAGCTGCAGGAAATAAGAGCTGCTGCTGCAAGCGTATGGAGCTGCAGCTGCAGGAAATAAGAGCTGCTGCTGCAAGCGTATGGAGCTGCAGCTGCAGGAAATAAGAGCTGCTGCTGCAAGCGTATGGAGCTGCAGCTGCAGGAAATAAGAGCTGCTGCTGCAAGCGTATGGAGCTGCAGGAAATAAGAGCTGCTGCTGCAAGCGTATGGAGCTGCAGCTCATCTTCAACTCTTATCGCTGCTCAGTCTCGCCCTGCCGCTCGTTGCCGCAGCTGCCACGCCGCAGCCGTTTCCCGTCACCGCGATTAAATGCTGTACAAATTGCAGGTGAAGACGATAGCTGAATTTTATAGCCATTTAACTACACACGAACATAATTTAAGGCAACGCAGTGCAGCTGGTGCCACAAGTTGACGTGCGGCACATTGTGGAGGATAACAGCCTGTGGCTAATGCCACAGTGTGGCATGAAACGCAGTTTGGCATATAACACAATTTGTTACGTGACAAACAGTTATGATTTTAATGCATACAGTGTAATAATTTCATATCAAACTCAGTAATAATGTGTTTTCAGTCGTTATTATAATGCGCTGTTGGCATATTGTGTTAAATGTGCGAGCATGCACCAAGCAATGACGTGAATACAGCGATTATCTTAACGTGAGATATTGAGGTGAATTACTTTCAGGACATTCAGTGTCATAATGTGAGGCCAACAAGTGTTTTAATGTGAAGGAATACAGTGTTATAATGTAAGGCCGAGCAGTTTTATAGTGTCAAGAAATACAGTGTCGTAATGTGAGGCCGAGCAGTGTCTTCATGTGAAGGCAAACATGCGGTTGTATGAGGTCATTCAATGTCGCATAATGAGTTCAAACAGTTCAAAGTCTGAAATAATACATTGCCCTTGTGTGATGCCATACAGTGTCATGGTATGATGTTATACAGTGTCATGGTATGATGTTATACAGTGTCATGGTGTGATGTTATACAGTGATGTTATACAGTGTCATGGCGTGATGTTATACAGTGTCATGGTGTGATGTTATACAGTGTTATTTTACGAAGTTATCACTCATATTTTTAGGGCACTTGATGGAATTCTGCATTTGGCTGTTCACATTAAATTTTTTTTCATAAATGTGATTAGCGAATTGCAATTTCACTTCCTGGTTTACCTCATAAATTTTTTGTGGCTTGGTGCTTGATTGATGCTTCACAATCCGATTGATG